CAGGCCAATTATGCTTGAACTTTGTTGTGCTTGGGTTGGCAGGTTGGCATATCTATCCTCAATGCACCACTCCACTGTCCAGATGCTTTCTAGAAACATTGCCTCTTGGGTTGTTGCTTTCTCTGGAGGTGAAGTGCAGAGTCTTCAGACACAAACAAAAACTTGCCTCATTTCTGTAACAGGATTCAGAAGCAGTATAGAACATTTAACTGTGCTCCCGTTCTCGTGCTCTCTTCTGAAGACCGCCCCAGATTCAGGGATAATGCAAAAGTAGTTCCCATGCATTTTCAAACAGGTATCAGAGGTATGAGTCACTGTCCAGTAATGCAAAAGATGTTTGTTTGTTTGTTTTTACCAAATATCGTAAACTTTTCATTCTTCCAAAATGATCCCTAACCCCTCGTGCTATCTGCAATTTGCAGGAAAAGGTACTGAATAGACTAAATTATTGAGTAAAAAAAAAAAAAAAAGAAAAAAACAGGAAAAAAAATATAAAGTGTCAGTATGACATTTTTCATGTGACAGGAGCTTCCAGAAAAGTGTGCAGTGGGGTTAGTTATGTTTCCCTTCAAGGTTTTTATTAGCAAATCCACTGTATTTGCTTCGGCTTCAGCATTTAATCTCTAAATACATAGCTTTGAATTCATAATGCAAGACCGTCTATCAGTTTCTAATTTAATACCTAAAGTACTGCTTTACCGTACATTAAAGTGGTAATTGAATCCAGACGTGGGAATAGCTTTTATCTGCATACAAAAGTAGCTTTTGCAGGCCACAGACCTCTGATCCGGGATCCAAATTCAGTTTAAGATAAAACCTGAAGCTCTGCTATTATATGAGAAATCAAAACATTCCTTAGAAGGAAACACATAGGCAAAAAATAAGCAAAGAAATTATCATTACGAAAATTAGGAAACTGCTTTTCAAATTCTGAATTCCAATCCTTTAAAGGTTGTTTTCTATTTTCCAAGTACAAAAAACAAAACCTACCCTGAAGGCCAACTTAGTGCAAGTTCTAATGTTAATTGTTTTTAAGCAACTTAATTGGAAAATACTTGCCTTGCAATAAACTAAACAAACTTTGATTTATACATGAGGGTGTTAAAAAGTGATCTGAACATTGTCTTACAAGTACTAGAGGGATTTCTGATAATGAGCTCTTCTAACAAAGGCATGCAAGATCCAACTGCTGAAGAATTAATTTGGTAAAATTCAAAATTGAAATAATTTTTAGTAAATAGGTTACCGGAATAATTCATCTAGACAACTGGCATTTTAAAATCAAAAGCAGATGTACAGAACGTACATTGTCTCCAGTTTTATTGCAGCATCCATGCCTATTATGCTCCTGTTGAAGCTGTGCATGAACACTATCCCTTACCAGGCTCTACTTGCAGTTCTCTCCAGAGGGTGTTTCCCACGCAAGCGACCAGCTCGGGCATCTCTTGATGAGTCTTGTTCCTTTACCAGCTGCAAAGTATAAGGCTGAAAGGGTTCAAAAGGATGCTGCGGACCTAGTGCCTGTTTTCCTCTGTCCACTGCTCCTCACTTCCCTCACCAGTTTGGTTGCATGCAGTATAAAGATGCTCATCATCATAGGAGGGCCTTTAAAAAAAAAGCCCTTAATGAAAACTGGGAGTTGACAATGGTAATTCTGGCAGAAACTTGAATTAGCACCTCATCGTTTAGGTGTTCTTCCTCACACAAGTATCCTTTCACTTAATACAAAAGAGCAGATATCTGATAGCTGGAAGTTCACTGCTGAGAAGGTACATGGAGTTTAGATGGGAGGAGGTAGAAAAAAAAGCCAAGCACCTGGAAAACACTTCATTGCTTCTTTATTTAGATGCACCCACAGTACAGAGCCTCTTGAGCATGTGCAAAAGAGGAAGATTACACATTTATAGCTGGGAGCACCATTGAGTTCGAGTTTCTTTGATACCATTTTTAAGAAAGTAAACTATTTCCAAAGAATTGACATTTGAATCCAAGAGCTTAAGACCTGCTTGCACTTTATCCAGAGGTGGAAGATACCTTTCTTTTATTATTACTTTGATGTAGAGTAGAAGACATTTTCACAGTCTGGTTAGACCAGTCTATATATTTTCATATGCACCTTTTAATATATATAAAAAATGTTTCATTTTTCCCCCCTACCCACAGATAGTTAAATGCATCAAAGTTTAAAAACAATAATGGACCAGAGCATTCCTATGGGGAAAAATGAACTTTTGCTGCCCTCTCCTGCTTAAACAATGAAATGCTAAAATATTAAGAGATCTATGACTCTAATGCTAACCTTTAAACAAAAAGCATGACAGGTCATTCGCTATACTACAATCAAAAATAGGACAACAACAAGAAATGAATTGGTACTATTTATATGTGAAAACTCCTCATCATTACATGAGGTTATGAATACAACATATTTACAAGTAAGTGATCCAAATAACAAAAAACCTGTATTCAGAGAGGTCATGATAAAAAGTGCGTGCTCCTGTGGATAGGAAGCAACACTTGGATAGAAGCTTTGAATCAATATTAGTTTCATTCTGTTTCAAGATCCTGTTTCACACACTTCAAAAAATGAAAAACTAGGGAATATAAAATCTGCTGTGGATACCAACTAGAAAAATCTAATTTGTGGCTCAATAGCTGCTAAGTGAAGCAGGTGAGCAAAAAAAAAAAAAAAAAAACCAAACACATGTAAATAAAAACATTCTTCCATTCTCCAATCTTGCACGCTGTCACCTTTATCTTGTTTTAGGGCAACTGCTCTGCGGTGGTATTGTCATACAATTAAGAAAAAAGGCATCTTTGTTTTCTAAGATAGATCTAAAACCAAATTATTTGGGTTTTATTTGGGGGGAGAGGAATATATTCAGTTCTTTCCCTCTTCTCACAAAACAATAAAGAGGTTTTAAAAAGCTCCTAATATATTTTTATTCCCATAGTGTGTAAGAGAGCCTGAGGCTATACTTACACATGTGTAAGTACAGCTGCTGCAATTCTTACTCAAGCAGTTCTTAGTTAACAGCCTGCATTTTTCCATATATAGGAGATAAAAAATAAATTAAATCCTTTTATCTCTGCTAATAAAACCAAGATTAAATTTACTGTAACCCCGCAAGTGAATGCTCCAATGGCATCAGAATACTTTTATTTAAAGCATTCCAATGTCTGGAAGGGAGACAAAAAACACTCAAAACCAATGAAAGAAAAACAATAAGGGAGACCTGCAAGATGAAGAAAGCAATGTGTGCTTGATTTAAAGTATATGAAAGTTGTTTTACAGTTGTTATATCCCCATGACCTGATGCAATGCCCTAGTATTGAAAATGTAACTCTTTCCTTTTACCAAACAGTATTCAGTCCTTTCTCCTGAAACCAATATGGTACAGGACACGAGCGACCACCCAACAGCTGCTGTAAGAGCAGTTAATAAACACATTTACACAAATAAAAGGTAGTTTCTGGAACTCAGGAAGCAAAACGGAAGCATAATTAAATAGATGCACTGATCACACTTGGGCCCATACGCTGCCTTCTTCTTTGCCCGAAACTCCCATCGATACCAATGGGAGCTCTGTACACAACACAGCGGCAGAATATTGCATTTGGGTTGCAGCAAGCAGTGGATCCCGGGGGTACAGTCATATTCTGGGGCAAGTGCTTCTTCACACACATCGCACAGTGCAACCTAACGTCACATCAGCCTTTTAGAGTCTTGTGACTAATATCACATTGTCTCATTCCGCTTAAAGAAACATTCCTTCTCGGAAGTGATAAATCATCTATAAACTTTAGATACTCCCCACTATCCCCACATCAGAGGTAACATCAGAGGTAACAAAATATTGCAACCCATCAGGTTCTCATCAGTTTTGTATGATCAATACCAGAACGTCATGTCAAAACCAAAAACAGTTATGAACAAACAACACTCACCTAAACTCTAAGTACAGGACAAGGTGCTTTTTCTAATGTCACATTGTTGTGTTTTACGCCACCAGGTGGAAAACATTAAATTTTTTTCCTCCATTATATCTCAATACTTGACAATTCAACACAGTCTTCAAGCATGAGTTTAAGTCCACCCTCTTATAAAGCATGGTCATTTCACACGAAAATCACACTAGCAAATATTTTTTGTAACAGAAATAAAAGACTGTCAAAATCAATGGGCTAAGGGACATGATTTGTTATAAATTTATTTAATCTTCAGTATTTCAGCTTGCACCTTTGCTTCAGCAATTTAAAATAAAATGTTTCAACTATGACAGTAACTGCCTAATTTACATTGCGTCCCAGTCAGTGTTCTTAAAAGAAGCTCATATTAATCCCATTAAACCATGTTGTGTTTGGTGTTGCATATGACTAGTTCCACTTTTTTTCCCAGAATTAACAGTGTCAAGTTTTTACAAAATTGTTGAGTTTACAACATTCGTGTGCGCAGACCCAGGAGTACAAACTGTGACCTGATAATCCTGAAGCAGTCAGTAGTCTAGAAGGGAATTCTTTTTTTCCTCCTTTCTGTGCCTGGAAACAAGAAAACTTCAAATCCTACTGTATGTTTAAATGGTAAGAAGAAAAAATATACAAGCTTGTATCTATATTGTATTTCTATCAATGGCAACAGGTCATAAATTCATGTTTGCAACTATCACAAAGACTCATGAACACCAAATCAGTTTTATACTGTAAATACTGCTCGATTGATGGTTTCGGATTATCAATTCACTGTTGTCATGTCTATAACAGTTCAAAAACATCCTGGAGAAAAATCCTGAAACACATACCTTTCGGTATATAATAATGCAACTGCATTAGCTAAATATATACTGTACATAAGTCTTATCAGCATTTTAACCTACCAAAGATGTAAGATTCCACTTTCAAATACAAAGCAGATAGCCAATAATGTATACTTATAATACAGCCCTCTTCTTTTTGTTTTTTTTTTTTGTCTTTTGTTTTAAACAATTTGGTCACAATGCACCTTTGATATAAAAGCATTTTAAACTTTATTATTAATACTCAGAACATTAGGATTTCCAGAATTTTTTTCAGTAGCATTTGTAGAACCACTTTTGGTAACAAATACAGTAGTTAGGAATGAGCATCCAGATGAGAATGCAGAAGTATATTATCCAGAATCCTTTCCAGCTAAGACCATAGGGCTGGTGCTGTGATGAGTAATAGTACTAGAACCACAAAAACACTATAGTATGTTTCTTAGAGGCTACATCCTCTTTTGCTGGAACACTTTATAAATACATATTAAAAAGTAAGGCAACAACTCCAAACAGTCCAAACTGCTCGCTCACTTCAATTTCCAATTAGATCCATGACCACTGGAGATCAATTTCACGCTTGCACTGTTTAGCGTTTGTCTTTATTCTTTCAGAATGGTCCAATAAAACATACTAATAATTTAGCAATTAGTATTTCTAAAACAGCTCTGGTATGCATGTCCAATGCCATTTCACTAATACTGGTTAGGTACTGAAATCCTGGGTGTTACCACTGCCCGTTTTTAAAGGATTGCGGACGCTAATTTGGATTTGCAATAAATAGGTGCATGAATCCAAGGCTCCCTTTCCTACTATGTTTATGACCTATTGGTTTCTCAACTCCTAATGTTCAAATTAAAGAAGCACCAGAGATAGCCTGGTACTAAGAATGCTCACACCAGTAAACAAAACTTTATTCAGGACCTATATTTTTCAAGGCCCTGATTTGAATGGACATTCAACTTATGACGATGTGCAAAAGGAAAAAAAAAAAAAAAAAAAGTCAAATTACAGTAAAGTTATCCAGAGAAGGAGGATGTTACACAAACTCATAAGGAAATGACAGTCTTTTTTCTCTTTTACTATAAATACACTTAACAGTTTAGCAGAAAGACAAGCTAAATTTTAAGATTGTTCACATTTGAAAGTTGTATTATACTCTCTGCTAACGATAAATAAGGAACAGGTCCTGACAATGGAATTTGACATCGCAATTTTCATCAACAGATCTTTGAAGACGGGTTTTAAAGAAGGGTTAAAACAATGATTATGTTTGCAAAGTTCTGAGAAGTCCATCTGCTGTCCAAACTTTGGATTAAAGTCCTTATTTTTTTCCTTTACTTAGAGACAGGTATATACAGTGCTGTTGTAATAATGAAACAAATGTGAAATCTACTGTAAAGTTGCACAATACAGAAAACTGTTGCTCCATCTTCTACTACATAAATGTGTGACTCCACAGGTTAATAATGCTGTTTCGTTTTTTCGTTAAGTTGGAATTATTCCATCACGTCTAAGACCTCTCTTTAATTCCAAATCCTCCAGTTTTTTCCACAGTTCTTCACGCTCTTTTTCTTTCTTCTTCTCACTGACAGATGAAATAAAATGAAGAGTTAGGAGAAGACTGTAAAGTATTTATGTAGCAAAAACATAGTTGACGTTAATTAGCAGCACTAACTTTGTTCAATACATCTGCAGTTCTCCTAATGTATATTTAATTTTTGTAAATTGTGTTCACTTAGTTCTCTGCTTTTTGCTACCTACATGAATACTGCTAAACAAAGTAGCAGGAGAAAAACGTAAATGTAATCTGGAAAAATAAGAGCGCCCATAGTCAGTACTTTGCAACACAGAAGAAAAAAAAATGCAGTGGAATTTTACTGTGGATCAAATATATCAAGATTACTAAAAACTAACATTTCCAGGATTAATTTACATTAAATTATTTTCAAGTTTATTTAAGAAAGCTATTTTTAATCTTATAAATGACAGCCGCTTTCCAGAATGAGTGCTCCCCCCTTATTGTTTTAGAACCACTTATACTGATTTGACGGGGCTTTCACATAGCTCAGGCATTAGCCAAAGGAAAGCTCAGTTACAGGATGTCCTTCGATCAGTGCTTTACTCTTTTTTCCGTAAAGAATTCCTACAACAAAATCTATGTGGCACTTGCTTTAACGGCAGACTTTATTGGCCGACTGGATTAACAGCAAACCCAATGGTTGCTTTACCTGCATTATTTGCTGTTTAAATTTCCTGTCTTTGCCACAGCTTGCTTAGAGTTAATGTTCCTGATACTGCAAGTTTAACAAACAAAACAAAACAAAAAACTTTCCATTTCTACTAAATCACCTTGCAGGTTCAGGTCCAATGCAAACCTAACAATTACAGACATACAGATTCTCTCACCTTGTCACATTACAGAATTTCTGAAAGTATTTCAGTAGATTAGAAACTTTATTCCTACACATCTTGATTCAGTCATAGTGCCAACAACTAGCTCACTCAATTTGAAAATTCAATTTCCCAAGAGTATTTTAAACATATAAAAAATATGAACAACTCACAAATAAGTCCCTGAAGGAATAGTTTTAAAAAAAAAAAAAAAAGAGTATTTAAATGTAAATGTAAAAGAATAAGTGAAATGGCCCAATATTTTCAGGCTACTTACCAGTTATTTATCATCTAATCATTATGATGTATAGGCATGCTTACTAAAAAGCGGTCAAAGGATGATAACCTCAGCCAGCTTACCTACTTGACCTATTATAGTCGTTAATACCAAATATACTTATCCACAAGCTTTAAACGGTATAAAAGCTACACCTTGTAAATGCCGTTTTACTGAGACGACCGAGGTTTACTGGATGCATTAAGGTAAACGTCCCATTTTATACATTCAGATATTCATACATTTTTAAATGATTATTAGTAAATAAAAATGGTGAAACAGTCAGCACCAGCCTTTTTAGAAGAAAAGATGTCAGTAGGTGCTAGAAAAATTCTTTATGCCATTCAGTCAATAAATTTCAGCCGTTATTTATATACAGGACATGCTACAGCACTGTCTGATCCTGTTAAATGCAGAGTGCCTCATCTAAGGTGCAGGGTAAGGGCAGCATCCACTGATTTATTTAACTTGCAGCTGAGGCTCCTCAGTACATGGCTGGATTAGATGCCCTGTCCTAACATTCTCTGCCTTTTCCACCAGAAAACCATGCAGCGTGGTCTCAGCTGCGTTATCAGACTGAGCCGTATTTGTCAAGGCCTATTTAGAAATCATCTGCGACTTAGCTCACATATAGATCTAAGCCTCTGAGAGTAAAACGGTATATTAACAAACTAACCTAATCATTGCGGATTTTTCCTGGAGAAAACTTCTTATTTTACAACAATAAAGCAGAAGGATGGACAGTGTGACTCCAGTCACACAATTAAAAAAATACCATGGCCTCCAAGAGACTTTAGAGGCTATACTAACCTAACAAGGTCTGATGACATACAGTACCCTTCGCTTTGCTTGTGGGAACCCCAAGTCACACAAAAGGTATGACTTAAACGAAGTCGCAAACTCCCCAGAGTTCCCGAAGTTTCCTCATTTTTTTCACCTGCTGCTTTGGATAAGCTGAAATTTTAGACAAAGGTTGACGCGCTATAATAACAAAATGAAGACCAAGGAGAAGAGACAAAAAACATTTTACTAGAGCGCAACTAATGACTGTATGAGTGGTACGGCTCTAACAGGTCCTGCACGCTAGAAGATTCAAATACAGCAAGACCTCTGAATTCGAATAAGAAAAACTGAACGGGTTGAGAGGTGCCTCTTTGCTTTAAGACCACATCTAGCCTAAGAACAGTATCTTGGAAAACCGTATCTTAGGATTTTCCCTCACATCTCTTTCCTAACCTCAGTGTGACTCTTTTGAAGTCTTTAAGCAAAATGGTATCCCTAAACCCTTGTTTTTCTTTCATTACTGAAGATCTTGAAATGTTTAAGCGTTTCGGAAGGTGGAGCCAAAAGGAATTCCACAGGGAATGCAGATTCACAAGCTATGCAATGGGTACTGTATTTCATAAGGGATAAAGAACCATCTATACACGGTATTATCCTACATCTCGCAAGAAGGCAGCTAAAGAGCATGCAGAAAGAAAATGAGGCATTGTGTCAATTACGTGTGAGATTATGCAATTACAGCTGAGTGTAAGAGAAAAAGTAAACAGCAGGCCTTATGCACAGCTGACAAAAAAAGCTTTAAAAAGTTACCGCTGACGATCTGACTTGTAAGTGGCTGTCAGCTCGTCAAACATGGTGCTGTTCATTTCCATGAATGCCTTCAACACATTGTAGACTAAAGCCACAATAGCCCTGTGAAACATTACAGAAGAAAAAAGAAAGGAGGAGTCTATTAGTTTCAGCTGAAATCACATGGGATAGTACAGTATCTTCTCTTACCAGCGTTTCTGGGGCTGATTCTGCTCTTTCAAGTATGACAATGTAAATCCTTCAATTTCAGTGAAACTACTCTTGATTAAAACATTTGAAGGTGAGAATCAAATTTCATTTCTCTACTGATTACGTAAATAGAACCACCCAAAACTCTAGGGCAAAAGATGACAGCAGAAAGCTATTACATAAAACTGCACTCTTCCCTCATGCTGTGTAGCAACTCTGAATGCAACCCCAAGGATAAAAATCATCAATGCTAGCGTAAATAATAGAATTTATACATGAAATGGGAATGATTCATGTTTCCTTAAGATTTTTCTACGAAGCTGAACGTTCAGTGCATCTACGCAAAATACAAGTCCGGATTTCAAGATTGATTTCTTTGTATTCATACCTTCCGTATTAATTTTTACTTTGGTACACGGAAAACAAAACAATCTTTAAAAAACACAAATCATTTAGGTGAGATATGGCAGTGTATAAAGCAGTGTATATATAAATATATACACAGTATCTACTTTGCTTATGGCTGTCCCTGATCCCAGGCAAGAGACAATATACCACAGCTAATTTAATTCTAGTTGTTTAATTGCATAAAAGTGACGGGCATATAAGAAGAGAAGGTGTATAATAATTTTTTTAAGCATTCAAAGGCGTTCTATCTCAAAAAAGTTCAAAAAAAAGGAATAAGTGGATTTCTCTTTTAAAGCATCTGACTGGATAACTAACTTAAACCTACTGGAATTTCCAAAAGCAGACGGATCTGCCAATAGCCTTATTATCTAGAGGTCAAAATTTCCTTCTGGCAGTGCTGAAGATAAAGAAAAAACCGAAGCAACTAAAAGGGCAGCAGGGAAGAACTGAATATGAACAGCATACAAAGAAGCTGGAATGGATTATAAGTCAAGAGATCCCAGTTCCTGACCCCCTCCCCACTACGGTCCTTATGTCTGGACATGGGGCTGCTTAGGAAATGCCTTTTCACCCAGGAAGTGGTGAAGGAACCTTAGAGGAGACAGGAACCTTTGGAGCTAATCTAGATAGCAGATAAACTTGTGTCTGCCACCCCCTGCCCCGTCCCCACTATTTGCCTCTTTCTACATACTTCTGTTGTGTTGCCCGCATTTCAATACGTTCTTATAAGAATAAATATACTTGTAACTATCTTCTTTACTTTACATGTATCTTAACCTGGTTTGCGTTTCTAAGATACTCCTGGAGCAAGCACAGAAACTTGAGGGATTGGGGAGACGCAGAACATAAAGACAAACATTTTAAAGAATGAAACATTTTACAAATGCTTTACATTAAGGACTTAACAAAGCAACTGGGACCTGAATGTAGCACAGTTCATTAAAAACACTAGGTTTGCTAAATGGTAACCACCTTGGCTCAGAAATACTCTTCAACCAAAGTACAGAAAATGCAAAATCAAACTGTAACAGTATTTTCCATTTAAAAAATTTCCACTAGGTTATTTCGTAACAAAAAAGAAGGCCAAATTAACTAGATTTCAATATGAAACAACTGCTGAGTAATACTGCGCTTAGCAGAACTGCTGTATTCAAATAAATTTATAAAAAACAACCCAACCTAAGAACATTCTGAAATTTATATGCTTCATAAATGTTTAGAAAAATGTGGTATCAGAGGTCTACCAGAGGTACCAGCATCATCCACGATGCCACAAAGACTTATTAACGCCAAGTGATACTCATCTAGACAATTCATGATCAAGCTTATGACGCACCCCAGTTCATAAAAAACTGCGTAGGAGAAATGCTTGATGAGCAACACTGTCTTCAATAACAATGCAATGTCTAATTTCTGTTCTTTCCAACTTACGAGAAGGTTTATTTTTATCCCATAAAGTACAAATCTTTGTGCACATATCATATCACTTACAACATTTGGAGCCAAGCTAGAGTATAGTCTAATTTCCATTGGCATTAATAGAGCTGCACCTGCTTGTGCCAGCTTTGAATTTCCATCATTCCCATTCAGATGTTCTTCAGCAGACACTTCCTAAGTTGACTAGTTGTTTGACAAGTGGCAAGATAAAATTTAATGCCAAAACTTACGGATTCCAGTGTTCTTTAGAAATCCTATAAAGACTGGAAAACATGATGGGAAGTATAACATTTGAATTCTCCTCTATCAAACTCATGATGTATTCATTATTCCAATAATACAGCGCTCTCTCAGCCACCTTTGAGTCAGAGGAATAAAATATTAATAGGAATTCAGATACCTATAATTTTTGTAATATTCTGAAGTAAAAACAAATCACATGAATTTAACTGCAATGAATTAACATGAAATCATTAACTTCGGAATTAAAATTCTATTTTAATCAGTAGCATAACATGCATTAATGGAATTAACTTTTTACACTCTGATTCAGATCCCGCAGCACCCTCTCTTTCTCCTGAACAATATGCCGTCTCCCACCGAAGGCCAGCTGCAGACACTGCAATACTGCTGCAGCTTTGGAGGAGAAGGGAGAGAGGAAAGACGTCTTGCCTCTCCATTCCCTCAATCATGTAACTTTGGAGTTGGAAGGAAGACAGCAGCAATGAGGGGATCAGAAGGAGGAGACAGGGAAAGCTGGGCTGTATATGGATGCCGGTAGCTGGGCTGTATATGGGGGAAGAGAGTGGGAAAAGGGAATCACTGATCTAAATTTTGCTGAAAACAGACATAGTCAAAGGAAGATCCTAAGAGAGTCACACCAGCCTTTGTGCCAGGGTAGGTCACACAGCTTAATAGCTTAATATGGAGGCACTGCAGACCATGAATCCCATCTCTTCTTCATATATGATTGAACCTTCATTCCTATTCACCCTCCCTTCTTTCTGTCATGCAACTGGGCCTGCGTGAAGAAGAGAGGCTACGGGATCCCAGAACACTTCCCCAGTCTTAATTAAAACAAAATCTTGCATTACTGTCACCTCTACTCAGATATCCTTAGAGAAGGAAGCGGGAAAACAAGAACGCTGCACAATGCTGCACTGAAAAACAGAGCAAAGACGTTCTCCTGGGCCTATCAGTCCAAAGGCCATGGGGCAAGTACCTATCATCTACAGCCAGGAGGGCTCAGCATCTGCTTGAACACAGTTTAAGGTCTTATACGGCTCAGAACTGCAAATTCCATGCTGTAGCCCAAAATGAATCTAACCTGTCACTCACGGAGCTCTGAACTGAACTCTGAGTAGTTCAGAAAAGAAACCTCTACTACAACATACCTTTCCAGGGAAAAGCCAAAAGATTAGTATTTTAAAATCGTGTAACACAAACTAACATTTACATTTCAGGATTTTTTATGTTTGAAATTGAGACTATACATTCCTATATAAACAATAACCTCTGCTACTACTGACCTGAAAATGAGGGCTAGAAACACACTTGGCAATTTGTTTAAACAAGGGTTCCTGGATTTTGACAAATTGTGAAGGTTCAATCACATCCAAGATTTCCTCCAGCTCCCCTAGGAACATGACCTGAAGACAAAGAACAAAGTGTTGAATTTAAAACCTTTGAATTATCTTGATCTGCAAAACCCTGTGTACCCTCAATATTCCACTGCTTCAGGGAGAACTGGAAGCCCTCACTAGCTCTACAAGACTCTCTTTAAAAATAAGTGATCAGTTTAGCTTTTGCAGTTTCTGGACCTGACCTCTTATGGAGGGGAGGACAAGCGTGTGCAAACGCTGTATTGAAAGGTAAGTAGTAATCGTCTAGAACAAAATTCAGAATTGTACCAGCATACGCAGGCTGAAACCCCAGCCTTAAAGAGACAGAGACTTCGATTCATCAAGGCTTCAACTCTATTAATTAAGGATAGTCACTTAATTTTATCTCCTTTTTGGAAGTAACATTCAAAATAACAGTTCTGCTGTTCATCAGGGAAATTCAGATTTGCACAAAGAATATGAAATAAATATGCAAAGGTCTGACTGTATCCTTTACATGTTTAGTAGGTAAATGCCAGATAATAAAACATCCTTTCATCACCCCTGGAAAAATAGAATCCTTGCAAATAAACAGTTCCAAATCTAATAGAATTTTCCACTCTATCCTCACCATATTTATTTTCTCCTTTCTAAAACAAAAAGATATTATTTTCTTTGCAGAAGAACCAGTGTTTATTTTGCTAACAGAAACTATGGTTATGAGGAGCTTTTCTCTTCACAGTCTCTTCAGAGAAACTACGTCCAGAAAAGAGGATTCAAGCATGGACAATCGCCCATATGAATTAATAACAAGATCCACCATAGCATGTGGAATCTACCTGGAAATATCTAGAAATTCCCTGCATGTTGTTTTGTAGAATTATTAAACTCCCTCTTACTTCTTGTTAACATTAACATATCACTTACCTCTTTCTGACTGCAGGTTTTTGGCCAGAATTTCATTAAACCTCTAATGACCTAAATTAGAAGAAAAAAGTATTCATATTTTTATCTTTCTCACCAGAGGCTAAGCCAGATGTTTAAGATACAAGAAAGTATGAAAGAAATATTTACTGGTTCTGTGAGCGAGGGGTCTTTCTCCAGAAACTGTACTATGCAATATGCCAACTGTGAAAGAGTAAAGATTTAAGAAAATGGAGTTAGAACATTTTTTAATTAAAAAAAAAACACAAAGAGACATTAAAAAAACAAGAGACTCAAGGCAAGATGTTATACAGCTTTCTCAGATTGCACCTGGCTTTAAACTGAGATGCAAAGGACTGTGCATATTCCAGTTTATAGCAAATTACTGATAACATACTTCAAAAAAAATTTAAGGTCACAAAGTGGTAGACACACTTTAAAAATCAGAGGAACTTGGAATTCTAAGTACAGTCATATAACCAATACTTTGAAGATTTTGTTACTCCTTGAAACTGCTTCTTTTACACTTTTTGTATATGGGCCAAACCATAGAAACTCTCACAAGATAAGCTGCCCCAGCCAAAATCTAGCATAACATATTTAGCAAGCAAGGCTGCGTCAGCATAAGACAGACTGCACTATGTGAGATCAGAGAGAAAGGCAACAGGTATCACTTATCAGAGGAAAAAAACGTCATGAAAGCAGAACGTACAAAAGAACAATGTGTTAATGTGAGGGAAAACACTGAAGATTAAGCAAAAAATGAGGGTGTTAGTATTCAGAAAGTTGTTAGAATGAAGAAGAGCCTAGAGAGCAGCATAAGACTAAGAAGCGCAAATATTCTTTTGGGACAGGGAAAGGGGCTGGATGGAATGGGGAAGGCAGCCTTCGGAAAGAAGCAGAGAACAAAATCTAAGGAGAGAATTTAACTACTATACACAAAACCCAAAAATCTTACAGATATACAGAGGTTATGCAAATTTTCATTTTTAATTATCTAACCAGAATAGAAGCAAAACATTTTTAATACAAAACACATTAAAGGAATAAAAAACAGCTATCACATTTTTCCACTTGACAAAACTTTTCCCCCACCTTTTTTGTGCTAAGCAATTAAACTTCCACAGCAACTAAAATAATACATCATTCTAACTGAGCAGAAAATATTTTTATAATTTCTACCTGTGCATGGAAGAGTGATAAACTCCTGACAGTATGTAAAGGAATCAGGACCTTCACCAGAAACTGTTTATGCTCTGCCTTAAGAGGTAAAGCAAAACCATTGATAATACTAGAAATTAGAAGAGAAATATTTGTTAGTGTTATCATCATAGAAAACATATCTGAGGTCTGAACAAGTACTTTCTAGATTAAAATAAGACCAGCTCATGCTATTTGTGCTGACTTTTGTCCTTCTCGATATTAGCAATGCAGTATATGTCTAGGTAGCAATTCAGCTCTGACCCAAGAATAATTATGTAAACAGCTGCACAAACCTGTTGCCAAACAGATAAGACACTGTCTGTGTGGTCATTCCGTGTATACAATGTGTTCTCGCATGATTAACAATTGAACTTACCAGAATTAGATTCACTTGAGATATTCACACTGTTTAGTGTGCTTAAAAAAAAAAAATCTGCAGCACGTTAAGGATGAAGTCCGCAGGATGTAACACAAGGAAAAAAAAAAAAAAATCAATCCACCACTTTATGCTGTAAAACGCATTCAGCTATATACTCCTGGCAAAGACCTGAGAGAGACTGCGCGTGGGCTTACAGATGAGCACGTGCACACATCTTTTTTCAGAATCAGGGCTTAGAGTAATACTTTTTCTGAATCTGACGCTATTCTGACGTGTCCAGAAGGAAAGTTTGAGATAATAAATAAGGACTCTTTTACCTTCCTAAAATTTCCAACAGTTCAGCTACGCCATTGAAGTGTTCAGTTTCATAAACAAATCTAAAAAAAGAAAAGTTAAATATAAGTAATATATCAGTTTCCCAAAACGTTCCTAAGAGAAAAGTATCTTCTCCCACAACTTACCGTAGAAAAATATTATTAATCTGTTTTCGGATAAATGCTCTAAGACCGAGAAACTTGCCATAAATTCTGTGCAAGACTGTTTTTAGGTAGTCCCTTTCTCGAGGGTCTTCACTGTCAAACAGCTCCAACAGCTGAGTTTAAAGATAAAGAAAGAAATGAAACAGTGGCTTGACTTCATATTTGACAAGTATTACCCACAGACCTCTAGATAAAAGTTATGTTCATGCAATCATATGCATGTGTGGATATGATATTTATGTTATCTAAGATGTAGAAATACGGTATTTAATATCTGATGTAACCTCAGTACACCATCACGCAACTCAGCTTATTAATCTCCATTTCAAACATAACAAGTCTTTGGCAATCTTCAACCAACCAATATACTTCAGATTAATTAGCACCTAAATGTTGCCTTCCTTCTCCAAAAACATAAAATGAAAACAAATAAAAACAATTATTTGCTCTCACACAAAGGAAGTGAGACAATTTGCCTATTGCAACTCCATCATTCCCTTACTCTGTAGAACTAGAGATTCTCATTTGCCCTAATAATTTGCCCGCAAAACTTTACATCAAGGTCACATTTTTCTAGTTGTTTGTAATTTATATTATGAGCTCTTAAGCCTTCCAAGTAACTGCACGGCCTTCATGTTGTGGAAAGACTTGACACTAAAGTCTGTGCCAGCAAAGGATCTGCTGTCATAGGATCTCCGGCAATCCAGATGAATCAAAGAATTAGGGAGGACTAATCTTGCATGTTGAACAAAACGTTAACTTCATTATCCAGGGAAAAAAGCCTGTACTAAGAAACTCTTAAGTAAGACTTTAAAACAGTGAAAAAAGACTTAAAAAATAATAATGAGGTACTCAGTCAAACCAGAATACCATCCAGTGTCTTTGTACCGTACAAAATATATCCTGAAACACTGAAATATGAAGTTGCTTCTAAGAATCAAATCACTAAGCGAGCAACAGGAGTATCACCTATAGGATTTGCGTTCTATTTGCCTTGAATCTTCTATGACAAAAATATGAACTTCCTCCCACCATTCCTACCCCATCTTTTTTGACAGAACAGCATAGGTTATGTTGGAGGACATCTGGAATGAAATAGAAGATGAAATGAAAAAAAGAACTAGCAAGTGCACGGGAAATAAAGAAATTTAAGGTAATAATCATAGGCAATCAGCATCTATCTTGCATGAAAAACAAAGCAACTGGCAACCAGTACCTAACCTATAAGAGGAAAAAAAGGTAGTTTTCCAAACAGATCTCATAATCGTACAAAGAGAGTGGCGCACACACACACACAGAACACCTACAGCAACGGTAGAAAACAAAATTATCTTAGACTTACAAATATAAAAATTATAAATATCATTAATACGTTTAGTAACCAATTTCCATGAATGACTGGAGAGAAAGAGAAAGTAAGTTCTAATTTAATTTCTACGCCAAAACAAATTACTTACTTCCTGAGCTCAGTGCTTGTACAGAACCTGAACTATTTCACAGCAATCAGTCAGCAATGCCTTACTGAACAGATCTGTGAAACAGGTACTTTTATGCGATATGACTAATACCTTCCGAGTTAATTAGAATACTGAAATTGGGTATAGTCAACCATCAGCAGCTCTTGTGCATGCAAATACAACATAATCTTCAACTATGCATCCAATTTCTAACTTACATGCCTGTTCTGAAGTGTTTACATGAAGAAAAAAAAAGATTTTACGTGTTTGCAATATGACACTTCTTACAGAGGTGACAATTCCTAACGTGTAAAAAAAAAAAATCTTTAAAATGATGACATAAATTGCAGAATTTAAAGCAACCTGAGATGTCCAAAAATCACATGAGAGTTTATCAGAGAAAACTGCTGAATCAATGTCAGATATCCAGACAGATGGCCCTGTGCTCTCAGAAATGCAGAGCTACTACAGTTAATAAAATACATCTTTTTTTTTTTTTTAAATAACCTTAACGACCATGTCTTAACTCCCCATATTCACATTTTCACAATATTTTACTTTAATTACTGCTTTAAGTATTATTACTACATTTCTGCAGAACTCTACTTACCAGTGGCCAGATGATGCAAAGTAATGTAATTTTATTTTTATATGGTACATTACTTTGGAATTCATTCTAACATTTTATCAGTGTATGTATACTACCTGATCTCTCTCAAACTGCTACACAATCGGGAGGAGTTGGGAGCGGGGAGAAAAAGGAAAAAAAAAAAAAAACAGTTCAAAGTTGGTAAGTTGTCTGGGATTCTGCTTTGTAATATTGAGGTTCAGGATGGATGGATGTGTTCTTCATCACTGTTTTGGGAGTCTCAGTAGCTTGCAATGAGATCACGCCATCTTTCCCTTGCAGGAAGGATCAGTGGTCGGAACTTCACGGAGAAACTATGAGGTTTCTCAAGTGCCCTCCGGAGGTTATACACACATTGCTTTGTTCAATCAGCTCTCCAGTTAAATAAACAAACAGCCACCTCATCCTTCCGCAAATAACAAATTTCACCCAAAGACAGCAAACAGCTGGAAACATTTAGGTATTTAATTTTCTTATTGAATTGGTTTTAGGAGCAAAATATTTACATTTCCAGTTCTGTTATACAGATCCTCTGTGGAAACACTGCTCACCTTGGACTCCGTCTCTGATTAAACAGGCACGTATTTTGATACGTCCAATTTGCTGTCAGGTTTCACCCATAAAGTCTTATTTTAAGTGACAGGCTGCAAGATTTCCATAATTCATATGACTATTCTGACACTAACCATACTTAGAAATGCAAAATAAAATTTCCCAAAAAGCAACCTACAGTAACACATATACTTATGGAGGTATTTGAACAGCATGTCTCTTAGCAACCACTGCCAACCATTTCAGACTGTATATAAGCAGTTTTTAGAAATGAACAGTTATACAGTTAAGTACAACATTCTGCCGAAAGCTGAATGCCAGTAATACAATAGTATTTAAAAAACAACAGCAAACCAAAAAAGCAAACAAAAGAACCCTTTGAAAACTGCCCATTAAAAAAAAAAAACACCTCTCATTTTTACATACAGGCTTACTCACTGCTAAGAAACATTAAAGTTTCTCATATTTTAAAAACAAGTTACAGAAAAAGTTGATTTTAAAGATTGTCACAGTTGTATTGTTAGTATCATGAAACAGGATCCAGCAAATACGCTCAGTGTTACTAAGTTTCAACTTGGTTTCCAGCGTAAGTGATCTGTCATAATCACAGTTCCTTAGAGTTATTCTAGACAAGCGCAAAAATGTAATAAAAAGTGCAAGGACATCCAAGTTCCAATAGGCCAAACTGGACCGCACAAACCATACAGCAGGAACTTCTGAATTCTTGAATTTCTTTTGACCTCTAATATGTTGTATCATACTTTTTCAGGTAAGTAGCCTTTGAAGTCCCATACTTCTCTCTTTCAGTAGATACCATTCTTTCATTTAGTGGATCATTAAAGGGTAAGAGGATCGAAAAAATCCTTGTTTTGGACCCATTGTCCTGGGCCAAATTCTAACAGGGATGAACACTCTGAAAAGGCACAAGTGAGGAGGATACTTCCACTCATGACCAACTTCAGCAGCTCATACCAGGAATATCTAGAAATGGCATCTTCAGATTTGGGAGTAGAACACAAGCATCCTTTCTAAAGCACTCCTGCCATACCTAAAGCAAATAACATTAGTCTGAGAAAACCTGCCAACAGTGATTTCCCCTCAGCATATTCTTACACCTCCACCAGCTACTGGAAGACCACAGACTGGTGCACTCGCTCACTCAAATCAATGTTTAAACGAGCAAGAATGAAAACCCATCACAGAGGTTTGATGCAGAAGAAAAAAATGCTCATTTGCTTTAGAAGAGGGATAAAAAAGAAAGTATTTTCCACCCCTAGAGTGAAGAACAGCTTGTGATATTCAGAATGAAAGTGAAGTCCCTTCATAGGATCTTTGAATTTAAGGACAGAAATGGCGCTCTCAGGAGCATTGTTCAGGTATTCTTTATGTGATTAATGTATAAGGACAGCAAAAGCACTGCTTTTATGCCCTGGGGAATCTCAGGGAAAAATAAAAGCCCCACGATGAAAAGGTGAGAGAAAGGTTTTCAGAAACCTCCTGCCACTTCTAGTTTGGCTTTTATTCAAGTCTCAATGCCTACGAAATTCCCTTGCCTAAGTAAGTAGGAATCTTCAGAAATGTCCTTGATTTTAAAAGCAAGCTATAGACTGCAATGAATACCAAGTTCTTCCTGACGCTTGGGTACCACAAAAACTCACGACAGGTGTGAAAAGCGTAAGACAGGCCATTGCTGACAGCTGAAGAGAAAAGGCAAAAGATCTTATCCACGATGCTTCCTGGCTCCTTGCAGAATGCATGTGCCTTCAACCATCTCTGTTACAGCCCCTGTTGAGGCCTGGAAGAAAGTTCTTCAAGAGCGAAGACTAGCTATGGTAGTTTCAAGCAAATAATGAAGCATACAAGAAGCACAGCTTGTACAAAAGGAAGAGGAAGATGAAACGTGTGTAAAATATCTGGCTACCATCTGACTGACTGACAAGAGGCCATCTCTTCCATTAAGCCATACTGATGGCAAGCAAATTACAAAGATAAAGCTTCCGTTCTTTGCCAACGTTGTTCATTATTGATGCTTCTTCCACTATGCTTTCAATACAGCTTGAACTTTACATGGCCTTTTGATTTACTTCCTCCCCAAACACTATAGCATCAAATTTTTCAGTACTGCTCTGGGAACAGGTTTGTTAATGAACTTCTGCCCCTTTCGCCAGCTCTCTAGCGGAGACGGAGAAAAGAAATACTCTCCCTTTCCAACAGAAATATTTTAAAAATATTAAGCCCCATTAAAACTGGGGTTTAAGTAGTCTCTCTAAAGGGCAGCATTTTTAGTAAACCCTTAGTAAACCTCGTAGTAAACCCTTCGTTTTTCAATAGCTATAGTTTTAACTCACTCCCATAAACAGTAAGTCGAATATTTTGATTAATGTGTTAAAACCGGAGCCAAACTAAATATCGTATGTATCTATAGCAACATAGACACATATGCACACACAATATCTCCCATTTAATTTGAAAACTTTTACTGTAAATGCTTGTTTAGCCTTTTTCTGCTGCAAATGAAGTTACAGCTTCAAATTTCAAACAAAAATCTTTCAAACACTAAAAGTAAAGTGAAGCCTGTAAGAAAACCGATCCGCTTACCTGCAATACAAATTTCTGATCTATGTACTTTTTGGCAATGCTGGGCTGGAATTCTTGGCTTTCCAAAAATCGTATGAAAAACTCATATACAAGCTACAAAAGAAAAAAAAAAACATGCTTTAGTTCATGACTTTATTATTTTACATATCTCCCTAAATTCTTTCTCTAGAAAAGAAAATACTAATTTTTCCCAGGAGCATATGTAAAAGATTCTTCTGCTTTATCAAATTGCTACCTTAGAGTTAGAATTAATTACATGAGCTTTGTAAGTTAGTTTTGCTTGTTTAACTCCAATCAGAGACATTTAATTACTAAGAACAGGCACTGCCACCTTGTAATGCCTGCTGTCATCTTGTAAAGCTTCCTAGAGTAATCGGCAAGCACATTTTGACTGCCCTCCGAACTGCTGAAGTCACATCAAATACAGAAATTGTGATTCTGAAAGGGCTAGTGAAACAGTTGGAAATTTTTATTTTAAATTGGAAACTGCTTACTGTAGCATTCTGCTATAACTTGAAACAAAGAAGATGAATACAAAACAGGATTTAATCAGGAGAGCCTAACTAACTGCACAGGTCAGCTTCAGGGCTGCAGAATGCTTGCTTGCTCTCATGCAAGTCCATCTCTGCCTGAACTGATGTATAACAAGAAAAATGTATGTATCAGGCAAAAAAGAAGGTAAGTGAAAGAGGCACTACCCAGGCCTCATCAGACAGCAACTCTGACCTGTCACTGACCAGATGAGCTAGCCAGCTACCAATTCCCTCTACTGAAACTCTTCAAGAAGAGTAGCCATAGTCAAGTCTTTTCCCTTCTGGCTTTTATAGGTATACATACTGAAAGAAGAAAGGAAGCTAAAAACTATATTTTAAAACAATTTTAAGCTTTTCCACGCAACTATCAATATACTGCAACATCGCTGCTGCTATGTGTCAGTGTTCTCTCACTTTAAAAGCAAATAATAGGAAATCAAAAAAGGGTGAGGGAGTTTTAGAAATACAGTATGGAAAAGCACTTAAATAAAATACATTAATTATCAGCTCCTGACAAATACTTAGGTGGCTTTCATTCTTACGATAGCAAATCATCCACTGGCTTAGAAATTCCCTCATCTGCTTGTAAATATGCCTTTTAAAAATACAGCACTAGTGTCAATGAACATAAGATGAACAGACAGAACAGCCTGTGCTGTCTCCGGGCAGGAAAAGTTGTTCAGAGCTTCCTTGAAAATTCTAAGTTTCTTATTTTTGTGAGATTTAAATATAAATGAGGGGAGAAACCTGCATTTCAAGAGATTCTAAATTCTGAGAGAACAAAAGAGTGAAACAAACTTCTCACAGGCAAGGACTGCACATACAACTGTGAAATCAAATCCTTATTTTAAGTTGAGATCAGTCATGCTCCTTTGCTGGCAGAAAATCCCAGACTCCACAAACTGTTACTCAGGCAAACTTCTCCTAATTTACCTGTGGTATAAGTCACAGTCCTGTCTAACACAGGTGGGATTTACTGCAATAGCACCAATGCTGCTGACTCTCTCCAAAATTACTGTATGCTCTTTGTTCAAAGTATCTTGCATTGAAACTTGAGGTAGAAAGGGAAGAATGGTATACAGCAGTGAGCATACATCCTGCCACAAACACCTGAAAGCAAACCTTGTTAGGGGAAGAGTAAAGGGGATGGAAAAAACACTAATATGCAGATTCTAACTTTTTTTCTACTCAGCAGCCAACACCTGTGTGTTTTCTGTATGAAAATTAGCTATTCTCAGTAAAACAAAACTGCTAACAAGATCATCTCCATACTGTTCTTGCGGAAGTTGCTGGAAAACACTTGTGCACCAGAGCCATTAGGAAATGGAATTAATTTTTAAGTCGATGAAGAGAATCAGAACTTGAAGAATACCATCAATCCAATCTTGAAAGAAGGCTCTAACATCTTGCAAATTTCAAAGTACTCTCCTGTCTTTGTAGGTACTTTATTTTAGCCCAGAGCAATATTAAGGGGGAAAAAAATACAATTCTGTTACTATATCTCATAAACCCATTCCGATTCACAAGTGAGCAAAAGCTGTGGAAAAATATTAAATACATCAAGCAATGATAAGGACTACTTCTCAGATAAATGAGTAGAAACCTGTAAATGTGGCCACGATGCCTCCAAGGTGGGCTCATCTTCTTCTGGATCAAATTCATTGCTGTCACTAGGTGGGAGAGTTCTGAATATATTGCAAGATACCTAAAAAGTAGGAGGAAAGAACGGTGAGATTAGTTTTTTGAAATAGTACTAGGTATCAGGACACTGTACGTCTAAGCCTACGCTGGGTGCCCTCTATCAGCGTCACATAAGGAGTATTGCTTTTGCTTACTGGCTGAGAAAGCTCTTTAGAAATGGTATAGGTCTAAGGAGCATTTCACCTTAACAAACCTGACCCCTGCTCAGCTTTCCCTTCTCCAGGTGTTTTTGCTTCTTTTTTAGTGAAATCCCAGCACAGCCCAGTCTGCCATCCTTTTTCTCCGCCACTTCTCAGATGAGGTCATCGATATCAACAGGTCTCGAGGGCCATCACTGGGTCTGCAAGCCACTAGGCATGGCCGTTTTCAAGGTGTAAGAAATGCCATAAACATGTAAACATTATAAACGTTTGCATGCAACAGTTATTTTCCTCTGCACAGGGAAAATATTAACGGCATCTGCTTAAGGTCTCATCTGTCAGCACGTGTTATACTTGTCAGTGCTATTCACACGTTATGCACCCGGACACTTCAGGCCAACTACAAAATTTGGTACTAAATGCAAGCAATAAATAGTATTTGCGTGTCACTTATCCCATATTTTATTTCATGGCTAGTTCGCTTTGCTTAATCTTATTTAGAGGTACCTGGCAGAGACTGCTTGGCATTATGAAGCTCATGCTATCAGTGAAGGCTGAACTGAAGTGCTTTCCTGGGTTAATTATACTGCTGAACAGAACGTTCAGCTTAACATGCAGCAAATCTGATAAACGGCAAACATGATGCAGGGCTTTTTCGGCACTTTGAAGGTGATGTTGTGCCGTCTTTGCACTCTGCTACTGCCTTTAACCCACCTCTAAGCTGGTTAATCAAACAGGTGGGAAAAGCAGCATGTTACTTCCTAATCCCTTCTATAGACGACTCCTACTGCTTTCTTCATAGTAGTTCAGATAAACTAAAGTAATTAAGAAAGTCTGTATGGTCTTCAACATTTTTATTTCTTTTTCTAGTCTTTTACTCCTGCAAATGTGTTAAAGTTAATCTGCAGGGCATGTTTCCAATGTATTGGCAACTTAATACGAAAGGCCATTTTAAGGCTAAAAGTTTAAATACATTTCAAATACTGATAAAAACAGGTTGAGAGAATGAAGTGTTAGAAGCTGCAAGACAAACAAGAGATCCAAACGCTGCACACATGAAAAGATGAAACAATGAAAAACAGTATGAAAGTACATGTGGTGCATATTCACTGAACATGGGAAAAAGATTAAAAAAAAAACTAGCTAAATGAAGAATAAACGAGGTAAACCAGTGAGCATGGAAAAAAAGAGGTCAGATGGGTTTCTGCTTGGACTTTTTTCTTCTAGCCACAAGAGGGTGCATTTCACTACAGTTAACCGTAGGACATACTTTTGGAGACGCCTTCACCGTATAGGTAAATCTTGTTTTCAAGTCACATGGTTTTCAATCCTAATAGATACAGCACTTAGCAGCATGGGCTAATAGATACTGATTTCCGTCTGCCCTATGTGCATACTTGCCAAGTGATTACCAGCATTCCCTAGCAGATATTCTCTTTCCCCCTTCGCCAACTTTTTCACATCTATTCATTCACTTCTTTCAACACCCCCACCCCCCCCCATGAAAAGACATTTCTGGTGTCATCAAGGTAAGTCAAATGAATGTTCTAGGAAGACAGGCAGAACACAGTTTCCCTTTCCCCAAAGATATCTGAGCTTCTCTTCTACTCACCCTTATATCAGAACGCAGGTAGAAGAAGAACAGGATCAGATTTAACAGGACTAGCTTTAAAAAGCTCAGATTTGTTTAGAAGGAAGAAAGTCCAAAGGACTCCAGAATAAAAAAGGGGAAATTTTTTGGTTCTGTGGATCTGAATATCTGGGATATTGCAATACTTACTCAAGTATTTTTGGTTAAGGCTTCACGTTCGAAAGTTCTAGCTTTCTCCAGATTTGGACCAAAATAGAGAGCTAACAGAACTAAAACCAGTCTGCAGCTATTTTTTTCTGCTTTAAACTTCATTTGAAACGACAAAGAAATTCTTCTGCAAATTTAACCATACGTTAGTTAACGACATTTGTAGCAATACATCTGAGAAGACATAAGTATTCATTGGTTTTTATGTTTTGAAACTCCTAGAACGAATATCAAAGTTGAAGCATTGCACAAGCAAAAATTGAAAGGATAAGTGCATGTTGTCAGAATGAAAAGATAAATGAAGATAAATTCCTCTAAGACTCAGATTAAGTCAGTGCAAGTTTCACGCAGTTAGTGCCTGGGCTTTAACAGCACGATGTAGCAAGGCAGAACAATAAAGGTTTCAGCAACTGTTAGTTAAGTGCCAGCACTGACACCTGAATCTTAGTTTCATAACAAAACCAGTCTGATTTCTCAAGAGTATGCATAAAGAAAAGGCCAGTCTCAAGGCAACTCAAAGTAACTGAAAAGCAGTTTGTTGCATAAACATAGAGGAATAAACGCAGAGCAAGTTAAAGTCCCGGTACACAGTTTGTTCTCTCTAATTTTCCTTTTCTCTATTAGAAGTAAAGGAAAGTTATATGGAGACAAAACGTAGATATTCTCCTCCGCGGAACAGAGAGAACAGGTTACCTTGGGATATCCCTTAAAGATAATCAAAATTTAAAAAAAAATAATGTGTGCCATTGCAGTTGCATTAATTACCACAGTACAGCACAACAGCTCATTTACATGTGGCGTCAATTTATAGCAGGCTTATCTAAATCAGTAGCCTCTGGGTGGCTAATGTTTATAAGCCTCTAAAGGAGAACTAAAGGCCACAAGTTCTGCCATGCATGAAGTGCCCAGCTGTATGTCAGAGACCGCGACAGCCATCGCACAGGCACGGGCAGCGATGGGCTGCATCAGCTCTGCAATGGGTCATTTTTCTCCAGTAGGCATAAGGTAGCTATCTGGTATTTATCCCTAAGCCCAAGCAGCCTGCCAAAATTCCTTCAGCTGGCTGGCTGAATCATTTCTCTTCTGACCTCTGTTGGATCATCAAGCTAAAGGACATCCCTGGCAGCTTGTAAACAGACCTTGATGATTCCCCTCCCAGAGGCACCCTACATGACCACGGGTGGATACTGACTTGCGTCTCCCGCTGATTAGGGACACCTCCAAGCTCAGGTGATGTTTTTGCACGACAACTCTAATATTCTAGAAAGTAGTACTACGACAAATCTTCCCTGCTATGTCCTCATCAAAGACACCTGCACCCCATCCGCCGTGACCGTCCGTTTCAAGAGGACACATCAGCCTGGGCACGAAAGGGTACAGCGCTGCCTCCCCGCGACGCAGAATTTGAAGGCCCAGGTGCCAGAACCTGATCTAACAAATCGATAAAATCTGCCCCTCAGCATCAAATCTAAAACTTCCCAGATCAAGTGGGAAATGGCAAAACAATTTATTTTACATTGGAAACCTCCTAGCTCGATGTCGGTTTGTCACAACACACAGCCAGGCACAACTTCTCTGACGAGAGGCAAGGCAAAAACGTTTCTAGACGATTATAAAGAAAACTATACTCAATAATCAGTGACAATTCCTTAAAAAGCAACAAGTCAGTCAAAAAAAAAAATAAAAAAAAAAAAGGGAAGGCTGCTCTGAAACCACCCACAAGGAATGAACTAGCTGTAAGGTCTGGAGACAGCTGACAACTGGCACCTGCCAATCCAGAAATATGAAACTATGAATATACACTTAAAAGTAACAAGCTTTAAGAAAGTTCAGATTTTATCACAGCATTTATGCTTGAAATAACTTTTAGAACAGGAAGGGCTAAGAGGCTTAAACCTGACATCAGGACTAACTTGGGGGGGGAGGGGGAGGGGGGGGGTCTTCCTTTTGCCCCTCACCGGAGCACAATAAAAATCACAAAGCTCTAACAGCAACGCTTCTCAAATTCAATTTCAGCTCAGTGCTCCTGTTCCACGCTGTCTAAAACAAGATTTTATCAGTAATAGTTTTCCTGAATGGAGTCTGGAATGAAAATAAACATACACCCAGGAGGCTCAAGCCTACACAAAAGCAGGATGAATGAATCCCCACTTAGTTCCCAGGCAACACCTGTTCCTTCATCACCAGTACCCGGAACCTCCCCACAGACCCCTATATACGAGAAACTGAAGCCGATCATCTATGCACATGCAATATTTCGATTCTTGTGCACTTTGACAACATAGAGAAACAATATAAAGTGACTGGAACACGGCTGAAGCCATTCTGACAGGCTGAGATGCCAATGCCAGGGGAGGCAGACACTCCGCTTATTCCTCTGAAATACATCTTCAGGTGTGGTTTGTTTTTTTTTAAATATCATTCGTGGATTTACCTATTTTAGAGGCTAAAGTGACTACTGCAGTCACTCAGCTCTAATCTCTCTATCCCATTACATTGCTCCCAGAAGAGTGACTGAAGTACATCCTACAAAAAAGCTAATTTTATCTTAAAGACTATAAATGACTCTACCATCTCCTCTGTCCTGAAGTTTAACTACCAGTTTGTCTAGGGCACAGCTTCTGACTTCAAGGTTGAAGTTGTCTAATTTCCATTGGTTCTTGCTCATCTGTGAGGTCTCTTCTACATCTGATATACACATAAAGGCATATGCGGTCTGCATGTATACGTACGTGGGTGTGTATTTATTTTATTTACACACACACACAAGCACACAAAACATCTCTCCACCTCTCTGCTGCTAAATGGAAAGATAGCTCTTAAACCCAGGTAGAAGTCTGCTTGTTTTTTTTGAGTTCTGTGATTATTTTCGCTAGCTTCCTTCGAGTCCCCACCTGTGGGGGAGTACACACTCCCAAACGTATTTCAGGTAAAAATAATAATAATAATAATAAGCCAGAGCACTTCCCTTTTTTCCTGGATATTGTCTTTTGCATTTATCAACATGAGCTTCTTTGAGCAGTGCGCTCCATCAGAAACTCATGTTAACATAGTTATCCACGACGT